ACACACACACACACACACACACACACACACACACGCACAGTATAATTTTTTTTCAAAAAATAGAAATAATAAATGGCGTTACTCTCAGTAAACGAGCATCTAATGATTTTTTTTAATTTATACTTATAAATTCAAAACAATTGCTTAAATCGCGAATCACGAATCGCTATTTTTAATGGACTTACATGCAGTAGCTTAAAGCCTAAAACCGAATTATTTTCTGTTTAATAAACTGATAATCAAATTTAAAATCGATTCTCTATATTTTTATATTCTCAATATTTCTATATTAAAAGACAAGATGGTAAATATTATGTTTACAGTGCAAGAAAAATCATATAGAGTACATTGGGACCAATCATGGCAGATACTTCTATTGACCAATCATCAACCTTTTATGATAAATATATTCCATGAAACATATATTCTTGATAGCAATCGCTTGATGATACCTTTTTTTAATGCAACTTGGAACAAAACCTACGGCGCGTTACGTGAAACTTATGTAATCAAAAAGGAATCTAATGTTAAGTTCGTCAAGGTACAAATAATTTTTTTAATAACATTAGGATATTTTTTGCGAGATGTTTTTGAAGATCAAAACTTTCAATACTAATTTCTTCAAAGAAAACCTTTCTTGGAAAATATTTATAAAGTCATAAATATTTATTAAGTCATATTTTATATTTAGCATGTTTTATTTTCTGAGTTATGTTGTTATTGTAATAAACAAATAATATGTCTATTCTTGCTTTTATATATTTACTTTTATTTAGAATTTACTCATAATAAATATACTGTATAAACGAGTTATGCTACTTGTCACATTGCAGAGCATTGTATGGAAAAACACTACCTATCTTTTATTATGTTACGAAGATGGTTTGTGCAATCTCCACACGATCAACTCAAATATATTGCGATTTCGCCATACTATAGGATACAAAGGAATCCCCGTAGACGCTAAATTTTTCACGCAGGCCGATCAACTCTACCTGATTATCGCCAACAATGCCGAGAAATTTCCTGTACCGTCTGTGTGAGCCTTACAAATTTATATCTGAAAGAAATACTTAATTTAAATAAATTTGTGATATCATTTTTTTAACATATATGCGTAAGTGCATTAAATATTTATTTTTTTTATAATAATATAGTAAGCCGAAATAAATTTCAAACAATGACGTAGTAGATGGCATTGCTCGGCAGGATTAGATTTTAGGTTTTATAATTTTTCATTTTTTTTTATTTGAATTTACATAAATATATATAAATATAAAAATATAATATAGAAATAATAATATAATATATAAATATATTATTTATATATGTATAAATAAGAAAAATGAAAAGTTATAGGATATCTAAGATTCAAGCTTGTCGAGCAATGCCATCTAGTATCTTATTATTATTTTTTATTTTTTTTTTTAATTCTTCGTAACTAGTTAATAATTGTCTGTAAATTCTGATCTGTCGAATCGCAGGATCTATCGGTGGAGCGGTACGTACATGGATGTCGTCACCGACGTGATGACGATCGGCGCGGTATCGGTTACCGCATTTGAGTATCGGCAATCGACAATCATCGTGTTCGTTCAAAGCAATGCTGAGAATCCACGGATCGGTTCCGAGGTATATGAATTCAAGGATAGCAATGTTGCGAGGATACAATTCTTGTCAACCGCACGTCCAACTTCGGTGCATCACTACATCCATGGCGACTTCAACTTTGCCCTGATTATAAATGAATTAGGACCGAGCGATGTCTTCTGCTGGGATGGTTGATATGTTTGATTAAAATCGTTTCTTCTCATATCTTCAAAATAGAACTTGCTTAGAATGCTTTCTTGGAATGTTCCAGGAAGAGAATTACTGGATTGGTTTAGTCTTCCCGATATCGAACCGCATAGCCTGATAAGCTTCTTTCACATGGACGGCGATACTTTCGTAGTCATGGCGCATAATGTAAGTGTAAAATGGATCGGCAATATATTAAAATAAACTGGAAATTCGAGATGATATGCGACAAATTTACTTACTACGATTTATTTACAGAATATTATCAAGTTGTACAAATTTCATAGTACATCCGATTGGAAAAATGAGGATATCAAGCGTTTTAAAGATAATCAGAAAATAGTCGATATGACAACATCATTAAACGAATATACGATGACTGTAACTTTAATCATTCAAGAAGAGAACGAATACTGGGTGGAACAATGGGAAGCTGTAATGACTTCGGTACCAGTTGGTAAATAATTGTAACTTATTATTTCTTAATAAATTTGTATCATTATAAATGACATGGAATTTGGGATTAATCATGAAATTTTGCGTGCTGAAGATGGCTCAAATTGCAGCCAAAACGTTCTATATTCTATTACGTAAATAAATTTATATTATTATTTTACATAGCGCGTTGAATTTCGCGTCTCGCGACTCTCGATTGCCCTTTTTTCACATTGTACTTATTATTTTTTTATTTCGATTTAACTTTTGTTTTAATTATTTTATTATACTATAAAAACAATTATAAACAATTATAAAAAGCAAACATATTTTTATCTCATAATCATATTACTTTTATGCTTTAATTGTATTTTGTTAAATTGGAAATGATTAACTTTCTATAGAATATATAAAACAAAATAAAGATAGGAGATATTTTTAACTTTTTTCTAGTAAATCTTTTACATGTATTTATATATATATATTTTAAAACAAAATATTTAAATATTTCTTTTTTATATTGTAACGATTTAAAATATTTTAAATAAAATTTTTGTTACAGATAATAAAGTGGAAGATGTCGATGTAAAACAATGTTTCTCAGACTTGATCGAAAAATTACAAGCGAGAATGCCGGCTTTAAGAGAAGCTAAGGCTTCATGGAAGTTTCTCTTACCGTCTGCGAAGAACTTAACGATCTCGGAACCAATGAATTTCGACAGTTTGATTTTGCAATCCGGCACGGTGGATAGCATAGAGCTTGTGACCGAAGAAGAAATCTTGCCACCTCATCAAATCGCAGAAGTTCTGGAGGAGCTTGAACACGAAGTTTATGCCATCGAGGCAAGACAATCAAAGTGGCGGCAAAAAAATATTAACTGATATTGATCGGAGGACTATGATAGATACGGTTCCAGAAAGATTTATAGCTAATGATGTATATGTAGAAGAATTGGAAATCGACAATATACGTGTAGATCTTGTGAACGACATGAATGTATCGGAAATAATTTTCCCCACTGGAGAACAATATTTTACACAACCATTACACGCGAAAAATGTTAATTGTAGACAATTTCGAAATTGAATCTCTTTGCGGAATACCGCCCGAATGTGAGTTGGATAAGAATTGAACAAT